GCTACAGAATTTTGGATATGTAAGAGTGAAAGTGTGTTGTGATTTATGCCGATATAAAGTGCATTACAATAGTCTAAATGAGAAGAAATAAAAGTATAGCTTGTTCAAAACTGTTAAAAGACAAAAATGGTTTAACTTTGGCTAAAAGGCAAAGATGATAAAAACTAAATTTCAAAACTTATTTGTTAGTCAAGTTTGAAATCATTGTCTATTTTTACCCCAAGGTTAGTTACAACAGGATGCACAAAGTCATTAAGCGGGCCCAAGTCTATCATGGGGTTTGTGAAACTGCATGATCACTGTTTTGATCCAACCACGCTTTGACGTCATTTAAACAGTCAAGTAGGGGTGTCTTGGGGCTGCCTTCATGCTTTCTGATTGGCATATACATTTGAAAATCATCAGCATAAAGATGATAGGAGATGCCATGCTTTTCAAAAACTATTCCAAGTGGAAGGAGGTATAGTACAAAAAGAATAGGACCAAGAATTGATCCCTGGGGAACCCCACATTTAAAAGGCGGTAGAGTTCCCCATTTTAACAAATAAGTGAAAGATATGACTGTAACCCTTTTAGGGCAGTCCCCCTGACTCCCACACAGTTTTCCAGGCAAGATAAAAGAAACGTGTGGCCAACTGTGTCAAAAGCAGCAGTGAGATCTAAAAGCATTAAAATGGCTGAATCACCAGAATCTGTCATTAAAAACAGGACATCAAAAAACTTTAAAAGTGCAAACTCAGTACTATAAAATGCTTTGAAACCTGACTGAAAAAAATATCCAAGATTCCATGTGCCTCCAGAGAAGACTGTATAGCTGCAAAAATACCAGTAGTTTCCAAAATTTTCAAATAAAAGGATTTTGAAATAGGGTGATAATTTGAAACATTTGTGGACTCAAGTAATCAGTGGCTCAATCACTGCTTTTTTACAGAATGCAGGCACAACTCCAGAAGACAGGCTACTAAAGACAGAAGGGGGGTCGGGGGGGCTGATATTGGCTGATATTTGAAATTTTACTGTTAAAAAAGTCCAAACATTTCTCAAAAGTATCAGGTGAAAATTCAATAGAGGTGGATTGTGGAGGGTTCCACACAGACCCAATGGTTTTAAAAAGAACACGTGGATTGTTGGCATTTTGAGAAACTATTTCTGAAAAATATTGTGTTTGTTAAACTTGAAATTTGTTTTGATAGTTTCTCCAGCAGTCCTGTAAAATCTGATAGGACACCTGCAGCCCATCCTTCTTTTTACATCCCTACACACAAATAGCCAATAACATTTATCATGCCTAAAACAAACACAGAGAAAATTACGGTTCAAGATCCCCTTCCTTTGAAAGCCAAGTTAAAAAGATATAGGCTACGTTTTCAATTAAGACCTAAAAACCTCTATAGATGGAGCCTGCCAAATAAAGGGTGGAAGACTGTTCCACAAGGAGAAACTACAGTAAAACCCTTTGACTTCTTAGAACGGAGGACTGCCAACATTAGACCCGTCGATCTTAGTGTCCTAGCCGATGTTTAAATTACCAAAAGGTTATGATATAAATTGAAGACATTTTGTGGAGAGCTGAAATAAAATCTTCCTATATTGCAGTACTGGCAGTACTGTATATCAATCCTATATTGAACTGGCAGCTAATAGATAGAGGATAACACTGGGACAATGTGGTCCTTTTTTGTGCCGGCCATAAACCTTGCTGTGGCGTTCTGTATTAGCTGCAAATTAGATAATTGTCACTGACTGATCCATGCATAGAGGGAGTTGCAGTAATCCAGCCTTGAGGTAATAAAAGAATGAACAACAATCTCTAAATATTTAAAAGTAAGAAAGAGTTTTAACCTTAAAATCATTCTAAGTTGATAAAAACTACTTTTTTACAACAGATTTGATCTGTTTTTCAATTATTTCAGTCAAGTATGACAACCAGATTCTTCATGCTGTCTTTCACAGTTGGGAGCAACAGAACTGGCTATCTTCTTTTTAACTTTTGGTGGACCAAATATAATTATCTCAGATTTTCTTTCATTAGGTTGAAGAAAATAATTAGGCAGCCAGACTTTGACCTCATTCAAACCGAACAAAAGGGACTTCAAAGACTGGCTCAATCCAGCTGTAAATTTCTAGTCAAATAACAAATAACTGTATTGTCTGCTAAGACATGTCATGGTGTCAACAGATGGATCCCAGCGGGCACATATACAATAGGACCCAGAATAGATCTTTTATGAAACTGGATGAAGTGTTTGCAAAAATGAACAGAGAATGTTCCATCCTGTAGAATGCTCTTATCCATTTTAGAGCTGTCCCACAAATGTCTACCAAAATGCCTATATACACAACGTTCTAAGAGAATCGAATGATTAACAATGTCAAATGCAGAACTGAGATCCAACATAATTAAAACAACAGCCAGCCAAGAATATCTGTACATCGTTCACAACCTTTACGAAAGCAGTCTCTGTACTGTGACCAGCAGCTCTAAATCCAGATTGGAATTTATCCATCATTCCATTCTCTGATAAAAAAGGGGGATGCTTGTTTCAGTTTCATCTGAAATGCATCTCAAACCACCTCTTGAAGTGATTTGAGTGATCTTGAAAGTGTTTCTAAGGGCATTTACACCCGGTACATTCAGGATCAGATAGGTATCCATTCAGAAAAAAACACACAAAGTGACCAGGTGTAAACAGGTTTGGAACATCAAAAGGCTGAATAAAGAACAAAGACAGAATTGTCATTACTGGCATGTATTATCCCTTTAAGTTCATTCAGCCTCTAAAGGCCTATGGGGAGAGAGAAGGGTTATAGGAGGATACAGAAACATGAGAGAGACGCAGGCAAAAGCAGGTTGAGAAAGTGAGCGAGCATCAGTCTTGTCTGTGTGATGAGCTGTCATAGCAACATAGACCGGTCAGGACTGGAGATTAGTATTAACCTTGTGTCCCGAAGATCTCTTCAGGACACATGGGGGCTGAATTTGACAGTCAAAGTGATGTGCGATGCATTGAGGTCTATTAGCTACACCTTTATTACTGAGAGAGAGAAAAATCAAGGCTCTTGGCAATCCACGGAGTGACATCCAAAAGAAATCAAGCCACTGTTCAAATTCTACTAATTAAACTAAGAATGCCAGTTATTTCATCCTCCTATCATACTATCAAGAGGCAAGCCCTTTTATATAAAGAACAAAGATAACACTTAACAGGCATTTGAGTCCATAAAAGAAGGTTAAAAGAAGGAACAAGGAAATGGTATGGATTGAAAACCAATACTAAATGGTTTCAGAAGTGTTGACAGAATCTAATTTTCGCTCTCGTATTGGGAGTCAAAGGTTTGGAATATCATTATTCCATTAGGGCACTGTGATGACGGGCGTTGTCATACTTGGTGTGCTGTGGGGATGATGTCTAGGGAGCATTGCAATGAGCCAATTGATGGTGGCTAAATGTTTTGTTCTAGATTTGTGGGTCTAATACTGACAAATATTATTTTGTAAATGCATACACAGACACACACTAGTAGCCATTTGCAAAATGAATGGGCAGTTTTGAACATAAGGGATGATTAATCGTCAACCTTTTTTAGCTTTTCCACTGAAACTCTGAGACATTTACACTGTCGAAAAACTTACTGTAAGCACACTGAATGTAAATCAGAAAGTATCTGACTGCAAGATTACGGTTACACTGTACCACAAATGCAAACAAAGTGACAGCAAACAATCTGGGACCTCATATCTAAAACACTAAATCACCAATTAAAGTGTTTTGACAAGGGCAACAATGTGCACAAACTATTAAAAAAGATAATGATTCATTTTGCCAACATTTAAATATGCAGGGAAAGGAGGAGGGAGATAATTTCCTCTCTCTCCGCCCTTATCTAATCTCTCTTATTACTAAATAATTAGCAAATTGCCCCTTGGGCTTGATAAAGAAGAGTACTCCACTTTAATTTCAATATTTCTGAAATGTAAACCATACGATGTCAATAAGCCCCTAGTTCCCCAGAAGTGTGAAATGCGTTTCTGAATATACATCATCGCAAATTCACAGATCCAGTGTCCTGTTTTTTAAAGCATGTAAAATTAATCTCAGCACACGTTTGACCATGAATAAAGTCATCAAAGGATATTTTCAAGTTACTGAGACATCCCATTAAGGCATTGGAATAAATTTGACATGCTGTGTAGACATGTGTGAGTGCTAATGTCTTCTCAGAAAGTGCTTCTGTTTGCAGATTTCCTGCTACCGCTCACTAGCCGGCCAGCAGCTGGAGACAACCGTGTTTGAGCGTGCTTTTTTTTGTGGTAACAGCGAGTGGTACTGATTAGCACCCTGTGGCTGTCCAAGCATTGGGAGATTTGGGCCACTGTGGGAAAAGGAAGACCTGTACTCATCGTGTATAAAAGGTTTTCACTGAGCCCAGCCAAATGAGAGTGTCAGCCAAACCAACGCAGAGACGTGAAATTCGATTTAAGACACTTTCCAAAGGAGTCTGAGTCCCCAAGGCGGCCACGGATAACTGGCAGAAATACATAAAAAGGAAAGAAAAATCAACTCTCAAACTTCAAACGTCGAAACTGAGTCCTGCTTTGCGAACTGCACAAAGAATACATTATCGATGCACTTTAAACCCTTACCTATGTAAAGTTATTCATTAATATTTCAACTTGATAATTCATTATTTAACTGCATAATTTAGACTGTATGTTCCTTGACTTTCTAGTTACATTTTCACATGTTGACACTGTAACTCAATATCACTGACACTGGTGGCAACAATTCTCGCCATTGAACGACATGCCCAACTCGCAGTGTTTAGATCAGCTTGTCACAGTGATCTCGCAGATCTTAATCACTGTCTTGCTGACTTAACAACAGAAGGAAGCTGGATTAAGTCACCTGTCAATTAAAAACATTTCTTCCAAGTCCACCAGGCATTGTTAGAAATCACACTCTACTCACGACCTGTAAGCTCCAGCAAATAAAGGATATGGGTTCGACACCATGCGAATGCACCAGTTGCGTGGGCAAGTGGTCTGCTTGAGGCAGAAGAAAACCACTGGCGCCAACTCGGGAAATGGCACGACCAAAGTGCTGAGGTCACTTCCTGCATCATCGCATGGCCCCACCTCCTCGATGATGTCATCTCCCTGAGAGGGGACGAAGTCCTCGCACAGCCCCGCCCCCACCTGGCTCACGCCAAGCGGCACGGGACACTGATCAGTCGTCATGGTGACGGAGCGGCAGCCTGTGGAAGGATAAGAAAAAGATGCATCAATATCCAGATTTTTTTTTTTAAATCCTCAGTTACCCACTATAGCAAATTCATAACACATATGATCACTAAACATGGGTTAAAACTAACTGAATCACAGCAATGGTTGTATTTGAGAAAAATAAACGTACATATTGAATGTCACCGCTTGCTAAAGTCACACAACAAGGTCGCTGCTTGCTTACTCCTACCATTGCTAATCCTTCCGGAACAAGACATTTTCAAACCAAGTATTTAACTACTTTTTTTCTTCATTCTTAATTTTCAGGTTATGTATGTGTGGTTGGAGCTGGGCAATAAATCAATGTTTACAATAACAATAGAATTAACAACACTTTTGTGCAATTTTTGATATTTAGCCTATGTTCAGTATGTTCACTTGCACAGACATATTTCATTATCCACAGTGCTGTTGCATTCGCAGGGGTCACACAAAGGCTTGAATTTCAAAAGCTTTATTATACAGAGAGTCTGTACAGCAAGACTGCTAGAAGTAGCATCTAATCTCATAAACAAGCCTCTTCGGGTCGCCCGGCCGGCAGTGAATCCCATTTCAGCAGTCGTTTATATCTGCCTTTGACTCAAAAAGAAGCAAGAATGTAACACTTTGCAAAATCATAATTTATATTGAAAGATAAGGACATTTTTTTTTTCCTATATCTTATTTTTTGGGGTGGGAGGATGCTGTAGTTAATTTCAATGTATTATAATTTTTTTAATACAATTTATGTAGCACGAAAAAAAATACAAACAAAAGTATGGCAATTTGAGTGTAGCCATGTGTATGTTGATCTTCTGTGGTGTTAAGGCGTAAATGTTGTGGAGTATCAACTTGATTAAAAAATAGATGTGTTCAGAATCAGATCAAAATTATTATGATTTATCCAATATTCAATATAGTATTGTGCAGGATTAAAATTCGAGCATACTTAAACTAAATTAGATGAAATATTAAAAATATATTATATTGTAAGACATTAAAATTAAGTTCCAAAATTCACCCCAAAAACAAAACAAAAATTATTTCTGAAAACACATTCATTCAAGAATAATAATAATAATAATAAAAACCTGAATGTCACTATGTTCAATGCATGGATGTCTGAGGGTAAATATTCCGTATTAATCCTCCATTTTAAGCCATTCTAAATGAAGGTAAAATTGTACTTGGCTTGTGACATGTACAGAAGCAATCTCAAAGCGTCTCTCTTGAAAGGTTCATAAATTTTTGCTAAAAACCTGTTTCTCTATGGAGAAAATTCGATTTTTTTTTCTAAAACCCTATTGATGTGCTGTATAACACTAGATAGACTGAAATGCAAGCCACACGGAAACAGATAACTTTCGATTTGCTCATATTGTGCTGGTGCCATGTTCCTGTGCCAGCACTGAGCTGCTCTGTCATCTGCTCTGCTTTCATGAAGACTGGAATAAAAACAACTCCAAATCCGTAATGAATGCAGCAGCATATTGCGCTTCATCCCCGTTCATTCACTCACTGCACACAGTGACTCATAAAGAAGGAGATGTAAGCATGGATGAGTTTCTGCAGCATCAGACACATGCTTCACCTGACTGCGATTCTCACTGAAGTCCAGTACTCCATAAGTTTCCATTAGCCCTGCCCACTTCAATTTAATCTAACAAGCCACTTTCCTTTTGTCCTGGAACACAAAATCTACCTACTGTCGGTGTTGCTGTGGTGATGAGCAGAATCTAATTTGCAGCTTCTCCCTTTTTTCCCTCTCCATGAGTAGATGCTGAGGCGCCAACATCTAAAAAGCCTCTATTTGCAGCCATTATAACAGCAAATGCAGCTAGATAGACGTTCAGTTGCAGCAAATGACAGAAAGGAGAAATGAGCCGATAACAACAGGACTACAGTGTACTATTTTTACAGTCTCGAAACGGTTTATCTCGCATTCATTCTTCATGTCATCTAGCACTCTGCTAATTAGCTTCATTTTGAGTTTCTCATCATCTCCTCAAAAGTTTCACAACGTCTTAATCTCTTTCCTCTCCTGCTCTTGCCTCCCTCTCGTCTCAGTCTAGCAGGGAGAGCGCTGTGGTAAGTCTCTCTCTTGTGTGTTAACGCTAAAACACATTAGCACTCCTAATGGGAGAATAGACACACTCTCACATTCAACGCTAAAAGCTGCAGGAAGCCCCTGAGAGCTTGTGCTGACGCTTCTGTTTAAATCAGATGCACACTAAAACACCTTTAGCTCAAGCACACATTTACCTTACATATTTACAAACTCAATACTCTAGTGGGAATAGAGTACAGATACACAAGACATTAGATGGATACTATTGACATATAGATACTAATTGCAATAAATATTTTCATGCAAAGGCCACAAATTTAAAATCTTACTAGAAGGACCTACATCCTCTTCAGTAGCATATGACATTTATAAACACCACAAACTAACAGGTACACAGGTACTGAGTGTCGTTTTATATATATATATATATATATATATATATATATATATATATGAAGAGTTCAGATGCAAAAGCCTCTAAGTGCCATTTGAAATTTTTTATCAAGCTTGTATATTTAAGTTCAGTAATTTCACTTAAATGGCAATGAAGATTACCTATTAATTGTTATTTAAGTGAAATTACTGAACTTAAATATACAAGTTTGATAAAAATCATCATTAAAGAAGAAAATTTCAAATGGCATTTAGAGGCTTTTGCATCTTAACTCTTCATATATTGCTTGAGAGAAATTGCCAAACACATTAAAAGCTCTTGATATCTTCACCAGACAAACTCACACATACTAAAAGCTCTTTAAATCCCTTTAGACCAGGGTGCATGTGGCTCTTTGCACTGTTCTCCCAGGACAGCACTTAAAACCCGACTTTCTCCTTCTCTTTATTTCTCTCCTCTTTAACAGAAATTTATTTTATCAACATATTAACTGTCCTTGAGTTCCAAGTGATTTTGTATCAGTCTTTTGTTCTTTCAGACATTAAACATATGCACAGGAGTGAAAGAGTATGAGGCAAAAAAAAGTCTAAAACACAGCTGAGATCAGATATGAATAGTGTAAAAGGATTCACAACAGATTCATACAAACTATTAGTTCTCAACCTTTTTCTAGTGTTGATAAAGACTAAAGTTAATCATTACAGTAACATAATACAAGCCCAAACCATCTTTACATAAGGCCAACAAAACCTCTGCTGTATAGTGATTGGTACTTTCTAAAAACATCTAGTCAGAGCACATGCACATATGCTGCAGATCAGATCAGTTAAGGCCAAGTATTATTATCATTATTAATAATAAATGAATCCATATCGATTATAAGATCAAATCAGTCATTTTAAAACTTTTTTGGCAGACGCAATTTTACAAACAGCGTGATCTGTGTCCTAGCTCTTAAGTGATAGTCTAATATGTGTATGTCATTAATGTTGATAAAACAACAAATGATAGCTTTAAGGAATCAGGGTTAGCACAGTAGCCTATGTATTTAAGACGATCCAGAGTTATTTTACATTTGAATACTTTATTCAGTTTTGGTAGTATTTCTGAATAGTAGTGTTAGATCTATAGACTGTAAAAAAATATGGTTAAACCATGTAAAACACATTTTTTTCTCTTTATTTGTCTTTATTCTGTTGTATTTATTTTTTGCTTTGTTAATTTAATTTAAAGATTGAAATCAAGTTTCCCTGTGTTGTGTAAACTCTTAACAACAAAATTACCCATTGTAAAAACACAATGAGTGAGCAAACATTTAAGAGAGATAATAAAAAATCTATTTAAAAAAAAAATCAGATTCTCACTATTAACAAGTATCTTATTAGTGTGCATATTGGCTGTTTATTAGTACTTATAAAGCACATATAATTTCCTTAATCTGCATGATCTTATTTCATTTCATTATCTTCATCCTACCCCATACTTAAACTTAGCAGCCTTACTAACTAATAAGTAGTAATCATTTAGTAGTAATCGAGTTTATTGAGGCAAAAGTCTTAGTTAATAGTGAGAATTGGACCCTAATCTAAGTGAACATTTTTTCTTATTGTACCGAACTTGTATCGAACCTTGACCCCAAAACAAAAGTATGTACTGAACCGTAACTTTACACCCCAATATACACTTTTTGGATATTGAGATTGACATTGCTATTTACCTATTTCAATGTTATGTTATTTGCTTGCTTTTAAGTTAATGCCATATATGGTTGAATGAATATGAGATTAAGTAACTGCAATACTTCCTTTGTTAACTATAACAAAGGCCTACTGTAGGAGAAATAAACAACAGTTGTGAAAGTTAGGTTCCCGAGATTGACACAAACACAAACACAAAGGTTACCAAGAGGGTACACAGGGGTGAAGAGAGCATGTTAATGACTAATATGGAGTTGGAATTTCCCAAGATGTAGTATAAAAAAATCTGAGGAGTAAAGACCACCTCAGATGCTGCCTGCATTAAGCAAATAGGAAACCCGATTCTCTAAAAAGGGACTCTAACACCAATAGGGTGTTTTATTGTTACAATTGCCCCCTGTGAGACTTTACTATAACTATTAACTGAGCCTCAAAAACGATCTTTTGCGTCATTCCTGAAGAAATTCAGCCTGCTGGCGGAATTAGGCTCGACTATCCTTACCCAACCTGAATAATAAATAAGGTTAAAAGTGAATGATAAAAGGTCACAAAGACTAACAATATTCATACACGCACAAATGTATTATTATACATCTAAAAATTCTGCATTAAAATGGTCTCCGCACATATGGGTGTTTGAATAGTAATGAGACCCAGACAGCATTATAATTGCGTGTTATAATCACATGGATATCACATGGCTACTTTCCATTCCAGGTCATCCTATCCTTAATGTGTTATAAAACAATACATGCAGTTTGCCAGACCCATAAACACTCATCTCCTCTAACAATATCAAGGTGTGTAAAATGGTAAAATAATATAATTGCTGCT